CACATCTGGGTTGGGCCTGGGCGCAGGTACTGGGACTGAAGCGCAGGCTCAAGGCAGGCCGCCCACACACAGCATTGGCATATATGCAGAGTGTGCGAGTGGGCAGGGATCTTGGCCAATGCAGGCATTGCGGGCACGCTGCGCTAATGCGAGGTGCTGCGCTGTGCAGAGCTGCGCTGCGCTGGGGTCAAGGCAGGCTAGCGCTAGGCGGTAGGGCGCTGCCTGCACACACGGCACTGGCGGCCATAGCCGGGCCGCGTGAGGGTGCAGTGGAGGTGAAGGGCGAAGGTGGTTCTTCGGAGGTGAAGGGCGCTGTGTGGGTTATCAAGGGAGAGTGTGGGTGAAGAGAGGACATACCTGGTGGAGAGGGAGGTCGGCATTGGTGTTGACATCATCACTCGCTGGTAGTCAAGTTGTCTGGTTGCTTTCATTGCTGTAGTTGTAGGCTTAGTCTGTAGAGTAGATAGGGCGCCTGGCGCCATTCACAAGAGAGAGCTACATTGGGTTATGCTGTTGGTGTTGCCTTGTTGGGCTTGGACATTGACTCACGATTCTTCTGTATCATTCTCAATTGGACGGTTACTCGGTTCCATTGTGCTATCTGCTCTGGCTTTGACTACTTGGACTTCAGTGTGATTTTGCAATCTGGATTTCTATGCTTCGTCCATACTCATGTTCCTTGCAGATAGGTCTGAGTACGGATGTTGGACCTACCCCTATTGGGTATGGTCCTCCATGTTAGTGGCCTACACACACAGACACTGGTGCTCGTATGGCCGTGGGGTTGAAGAGAAAGTGCAGGCTTCATTCGGGTTGCATCGAAATGGTTGGTATTCTTGGAGGTTGCGAAGTATTCTACGCGTGATACCAACCATTCTGTGTGGATGGAAGCCGTTAAATGTCATTGTGTGGAGGGTGTCGTTGATCTCAATCGCAGCAGATCTGGCTTCAGATACTATCGTCATTTCGGTAATGATTTGGGGGATTAGTAGATTGAGGGACTGGTGTAAAGGTTGGTCTGAATCTGCATGTATAAACTGGTTAATCGGGAATCTGAGCTCCCGGCGTTTGTCATATTTTGCTGTTTTGTACGTGCCTAGGTCGATACCAAGTATTTGTATTGTTGATTGAGAAAGTTCGTTTTCGTACCAATTTGTATATCATTCCTTGAGGATTATGTGGTTTGTTCATTCAGAGTTATCAAGTATAGGGGGTAGATGTAATATCGGCTCCGAGGGCTGGCAATATCTGGATTGATGAATTCTCTGATGCGAGGGTTGTTGATGACGTGGAGGTCATCGAAGTAGCTGAAAGGGTGCTCGAAGATATGGAGGAGGTGTTGGCTCTTAGGAAGGAATGGGTACTCATCTCGGTTCGAATCCGAGTGACGGCATTTTTATTCTTATAGAAATCGCAATAATTATATTTATATCATTCTATTTCTATTTATTTTTTATTCTAGCTATATTTATTATAAGTATATAGTAAATAATTCTTTATACTTTGCTTTATATTTAGATTATTTAATCGCCAAGCTCGGCAACGCAAAATTGGAGGAGAAGTTTTATGCTATATATGGTAAAAAAAGATATTAAATAGAGATCAGATATATTACTCTTTATAGAATGAATAATTATTCATTCAAAATAGATATTGCACCAGACCGGTGAGCAACTGACGCCCATGGGGATCCCCAAAGTCTGCTTCCATATGTGGTTGCCAAACGATGAATACGCGTTGCTTATTAGCCAAAAATTGATTGCGTTGATGATGGTAGGGTCAACGGTGAGGAAACCTGCAGGGGATTAATTTTTCATTCACAGATGGGTACAAAGCCTTTAGGAGATGCATACATTCTGCAGGCCGATTTACCTTGCTGCCAGTTGTTTTCTAGCTTGTTTGAAGGCAAGTTTAGTGAAGAACATGATGGCATTGGGTAGGCCATCAGCACTGTCATCTGTTGGTATGGTCTTATAACACCGTGTAATGTCAGCAGAGAAGACAGAGAATAATTTTTCAGGTAGGTTGTATATATAGTCTGATGTTGAGTCAATCGGCCACCAGTAAGGAACTTTTAAACCTATGTTTTCAAGCATTTTGCTGGTGAGCGAGCCACAGTGGCATTTAACCATCCAAATTAGTGCTTTGAGGATAGCTGCAGCGAGATCGGCGAGGGGTGTAAAGATCACGTCTGCAGCATTAGTGAGCCATCTAAATGAGTTTTTATGTTTTTTATGTGTTGCAAAGTTGCAAACAAGTAAAGGAGACCCCAAACAACCTCTGGATGATCTGATTGACAAGTCCAAGCCTAAACTAACTCCTGGCACTGCAGAGCACAACAGTTACGAGAAAGACCTGATCTGATTGACAAGTCCAAGCCTAAACTAACTCCTGGCACTGCAGAGCACAACAGTTACGAGAAAGACCTACAGAAAGCAAGAACTAATATGTTCAAGGCCCAGAAGAGGATTATCGAACACGTTAATAACCATCGCTATCCCCCTACTATATGGCCAGGTCACTGGGTCTGGGTGAAAAGATCTGAGCTAACTGCCGAACAGGATATCTCAAGAAAGTTATTGCCTGTTTACTACGGCCCATCGCAGGTGCTTGATATTGTGGGGGCAGATCATTTGGACCTTCCTACGTACTTGCTGTACTCCCTCACATTAGGACCTATCCAGTCTTCCATGCTTCAAAGCTGCTGCTTTTCAGTCCTGCTGATGCATTTCCTGACAGGCCACCGCAGTTTGGTCCTCCTATCCCTGGAAAGGGTAAGAAGTCGAGAGCATAGAAGACGAGTGGGGCACCAGCCCCAATTGTGAATATCTTGCGAGGTTCTGCTTCCAACCTCACACTGAGGATCGAGGGTTTATGCAGAAGAAACTTCTCAAGTTTGCGAATTCAGACGTGCGCACCTATGAGGCTGAACAGAAAGGGCAACCTCTCGGACGTTCTCCTCGTGGACACTCCTAGCTCGGGGTCCTCGTTCCCCGGGGGGGTAAGAATGAACTGAATTGCAGGTTCGAGCAAGCTGCAAACTAAGGAGCTAGGTCTTCCTAACCTTTTTGGTATATTTGCGGCCTCTGGGGTTTGGTCCCTGCACCTATGTCTAATGGGGCCTGCTGTAGCTGCAACTGAGTTTTGAGGTTCCCAAGCCTTGATCCCCGTACCTGTCCCTTAGAGGGACTTGTTTTGCTGCTGTAGGTCGTAGGCCCTTGGCCTTTATTTTTCCTTGCGCCAGTTTGGAGTCTAGATTCAGTCCAGCTGTTTAGTCTGTCCTAGCCGTCCAGTAGGCTGTGGTGTTTGTCGAAGTAGTCTAAATCCTACAAAAATCTCGAGGCAGAAAGGGGAACAGGTTCTTTTCTGGTTCTTTACACGGAGTGATGCTGGAGGTTGGGGTCGTTTTGCTGCTGCGCTATGAGCATCTGAGCAAGGCTTCCTCCTGGTGATGGTGCTGTCGGCCATAGCTGGGGCCGGGCAACTCTACTTTCCAGAGCAGCGTTTGGCTACAGGCCATGAGCGCTATAGGGCACCTCCTCCGCTGTGTTCGGTTGGGGTTACTTCAATTGCCTTCGAAGCAGCTCTTCCATGAGACCTTCTTCAAGAGTGGCAGGCTCCATCTTCATTGTGTCCGTGTTCTTCTTCCTCATCCTGGGAGCTCCCCTGCTGAGCGGACTCTTCATCCGCAGCTGGGATTTGAGGTCGCTGCCGGGTGCTCTGCTGGACGCAGGAGGGTGGTGTAGTGTTGGCAGGGTTGATAGGTTGGGTGCTGTATGCGCCATAGCTTGAGCTTGGTGACGAGGGAGAACGAAGAAGACTCCCCTCTTACTCGATGAAACTTGTAAATAATTGGTTTCTGGGTGTCGACAACGTGGTTGGGATTCTTGGAAATACAATGCGTTGATTGGCTGGAGGGAGCGGGATATTAATTAGAATTGATTGTTTTCAAATCTATTTGTGGTTGTAAAGTGCTTCCGCTGTGTATTCTCTGATCCGCTGTGGTGTGAATTGCTCTCTCCAGGATCACCTGTTATTGCGTATGTGCATGGGAATGTGTGGATGCCATGCTGTATCTCGTTTCAATCAGACAAATAAAATTATAATATATGCTGTATGGCACTGTATATTTATCTTTTTGGGGCTTTTTGGATCTGGACCCGAAACCCAGTTCGGACGGTACGGAACCACAAATGTCCCGTGGTCTGGATGTGTCCGCAAGTCCCGACGTCTGGTTGGATCCGTACCTGTGTCCAGTCCCATGTACAGCGCTGGGCGGGTCCGGGTCCGGTGTAGCCATGGTTTCTCTCGAAGGGTCAGGTTATTCAACTGATAGAAAACACACGGAGCATACGCAAAGGTGGTACACCCGCTGCATATGCAGCATATGACAAGCCAAAAGTCTGACGTCAATTATGATTCAAAGCAACGAGTGTCAGTGTCATTACACAGTGCACATGTGACTTCCGATCTTTGCAGCACTCCGAATTCACAAAACCACCCCCCCTGCTGCCACCCGAAACTCCATCTGACACTCAATCAAGTGTGGGGATTTCAAATTTTCCTCCCTCCTTTTTTCCAGAAAAGAATGGACAAAAAGAACAGCAGCGGACTATGCATATTATCCAGGCCATGAGATGGAAAGCAGAATAATCAATACCAAATATTCAAAAAAATAATAATAATAAATAAAGGGAAAACTGTGCCTGTGACACACTTTGAGTTTGAAATAGGCAAAAAGAGACAAAGTGGAGCCGGTGTTGGTGTGAGTTTCAAAATGTGCAAGTTTAGCGGGGTTCTAAAACTGCGCCAGTCATTACCCGCAATGACGCTTGGCAGATTTAGGGTCGCCTTTCTTGCTCCATTTCAAGAACTGCTAAAGTTGCCTATTCGGGGTGTGACTCCAACGTACTTATCCCATAAATAAATAAATGAAAACAAAACTCACACACATCATAGTAGGTATGCCGGAAGACATTCAAAGCAGGACACAAACTTACCGGTCGTTCGGCTCGTCATCACCTTCTGCGACAATCGGCATTGTAGGACCATCCAGAATGGCATACCTTTATACAAAAAAGATTGCATACCAGTCAGGTAAATCATGGCCATTTAAAAAAAAAAAAAAAAAAAAAAAAAAACCCAGCAAATCCTCAAAAACAAAGTTAAAAAATCAACCCTACATTCTACAGAATCTTTGTACGATTTTTGAAGGACCGTCCAGAATGGCACACCTAAAAAAAGAATACAAAAGAAAAGAACAGAACAGAAAAGAATTGCATACCTGTCAGTTTTTTTTTTCTTTTCTTTTCTTTTCTTTTCTTAACATAACCTTACGGTTCTGGCTCCTTTTCCATTCTGGGGAGCATCAGTCTGGTTCCTATTCCCCCGACAAATCCAAGGTAGTACAAATTTACTCACTCACGCTCCTCCCCCTTATGGCGTGGAGGCCCAGAAGACGGCATTGATTACTTCCTTGAAGGAGGATGTACCGATCTTTACCCCTGCTTAAGTTAGCCTATTCTAGGCTGTTTTTTCCTTAGAAGCTATGAGTGATAGCTACTTGACTTTGCTGGAACTATCCGGTCTTTTTTTACTGCTCCTCACTGTCAATTGAGCCTATGGTGTGACTCTGTTTTACGCGTACGGAGGGTGTGACAGGCCTCTTTGCTCTAATTTCGGTTTCCTTTGGAGCGATTTTCTTTGAAAGTAATGTCTGAGGCTAAAACCCTAAACCCTGAATTACTGGTAGCGCGTTGACCGAGTTGGAGTACCGTTTGGAAGTATCGTCTGACTGTAACCTTGAGAGTAGCATCTGAAGCGAAAAACTCTAGAGATCTGGGAGGCAGATGACCGCTGACCGAGCTATTATCGGGAGCTTGGCCCGTGTATCTTGGTGGGGAATAGTGTGATGGGTAATCGGTGTTAGGATTTAGTGTGGTTTGAATGCCGTGGGTGTGTTGGGTTTCTGGTGTGGGCATGAGACCTGGAGGATGGGAGGGTATTTTGATTGATGAGGGTGCGTTCGGATGATGTTTGATGGTGAGCGGTAGTTGGAAAGGGGGGGTGCGGTGGTAGGTGCTCAGGGTGGGTTGATAGAAAAGTTCATAGAGCAGTATCTGTTCCATTTAGTGCGATGGGGGATAGGTTGTTTGTTACTGTGGGTTGTGTTGGAGCAATGGGATTTTGGGTATTTGATGTGGGCATAACTAACCAGTCTTGTAAGTGCAGTCTTTCTCTTTCAACTGTTCCTAGTTTCCCGTTGCCTAGAATCTGGGAGATGAATTTATTAATGATCTCTTGTTTCTTATCTGGGCATTTTGTAGGGAGTGGAGTTT